AGGTCCACTGCATGCCAAAATAAGCATCATTTAAGCAGTAAATCCAAAATATTTTCCTTTATGGACAAATTGGTTTTGGGCTGAAACTACTGTTTTCCCTTCTTGACTTGAGCTTTTGAAATTCACCACTGTCATTTTACTAGACTTCGTTTCCTTTTACCATCCACACCGAGTAAGCTTTGAAGCTGACTGTCTAGATTTTGTGAGTTATTGCAAACCTTAAGCATTGACAAATCAGCTATAGGTCTTCAAAAAAACATGATATTTTTCAGAAGTCTTTTAAAATGAAATTAAATGTTGGATTATTTTCATTTACTTTCCAAATATTCTTTGCCTTGGAGGGCTATTTACGTACAGTTGTAATAGTATATTTGAAAACTAAAAAAAAAAATAAAAAATATATATAATAAAATATTTTCTGTTTGACCAGTAAATATTCTTCTAAAATAAATATTATTGTAATTCCCCAGAAACTTTAGGTGAAGGGAGACTCCAGGTGAAGTATCAACAGGAAAGCTTGGCACCATACCCAGCTGGCAGGGTTATGAGGCAAACTCCCTGTCCGGCCATACACAAATCTGATTACATTATCACCTCTTTCTCTCTATGAAAGAAACATATTGTAAGAAGTTTTTTTCCCCAGTTTCCTTTTCCTTGCATTTTATTTTCTTTCTTTTGTTCATTTCTTCACCTTTGATGCCTTACCTTAAGTTCTTTCCCTGCTAAGCATGATATTAGATGTAGCTTTTTAGAGGCGTTACACTCCTATAATCAGAGATTATTTCACAGCATGCACAACAACTTCTGCCTCAGCATCACTTACGGGATCACTGCATTTTCTACCAGAGATTATTCCTCATTGCTGGCAGTAGAAAGAGATATCAGCAAAGCAACTAGTTTTAAACCCTGGGGTATGTGTATGGAACAGCATTGGCTTCATGTAAATCTGTGAAAGTCATGCTGGGGACATATATCCCAAGTTTTACAGTACTGTGATCATCCAGCATGGTACAATTCAGCACCAGGTCATATAGAGTTTATCCCTAGTTCAGTGCAAAAGGTTCCACCTTTTCTTTGGGGTCAAACAACTTGTGTTACACCAATGAACTTGGCTTAAAATGTCATGAAACTAAAATAATTTGAACATATTTAAGAAGACAACCCCTGATATTTCAGTGTAGTGACGATCCTATTATCTCAAAAATGACATTCTAGGGATGGAAACCATTCAAGACACAATGAAGATGATCCAAAATACCAGCATAAGGACCATCAAACAAAGCAAACGGGAGCAAATTCCCAAGTGAGCAAAAGGAGGCAGTTCCATGTGCAGTAGGTCATAGGCTTGTGAAACTCCTTGATGAAGGACATGAGGGATGCAGAAGTCTCTAGAGGACAGTTGGCAAGTTACTCGGACAATAAATATACTTAGAGATACTAAATAAACAAACCACAAGAGGACCTGGTATTCCCCTGACCTAAAAAGTGTGTGAAGCTTGCTGCATTTTCTTACCCCTGCACATGAACATATTGCCACTGATGGAAACAAGATTTGGGGATGGGCAAACCGTTGGTCTCTTCCATTCTTAATTGAATTTTCACTGATGTGAGATTTGTATATCTACATTTTAAAGTATAATTATATTCCCTTGATCAACGATAATTATTTCACTCTAAATTTCTTTTAATGAATTATATATATAAGCCTAGTAGCATTTCTTGTAATGATAATAAAAAAATACTGCTTCTTATATGTTCATCAGCTTAATACACTCAGGAGATCCAAACTCACCAGAGGATTTCTTTCTTAGATAAGTAAATCTTTGCCTATTAAAATTTCAATTACAAATATCTGATGTAAATTTTAATCTCTGATTTATGATATTACTGTATCAGGGTATATATTCATTTAATGTTCATTAAAAAGGGGCAAGTGGAAAAATACATACCACTCTATTTTTGGTGAGCACTCCATGTTCAACAAGTGTCCAAGGGCAGTGGAGCAAGCTCAGGGAAAGCTCCTGAGTTAAGAAAACATGCTTCACACCAAGCAAAGTCAGGCACAGCAGTGTGAAAAATGGAAAATTGCCTTTTCTTGGCACCAAGTTGCATCCTACAGAATGGAGGGGTTTTAAGATGAACTGTGTGGATGGATTCCAGATCTCTGGAAATCACTATTGAAGGTACCAGCAATGTTGTAATCAGTATGGGCTGATTAACAAGAGACCCCAAGTACCTTGAAGAGCTCTCCTTTCTCATCAGCTCTCGCTCTCATGTACTTCTTGCTCAGCATATCCTGCAATTATGCAACACATTTCTACCTTTTTTTTTTTCCTCTTCCCCAGATTCTCCTCTCCTAGATTTTCCTTTTCCAAAACATTCTATCCTTACACCCACCTGATTGTTAGGAAAGTCTTCAGCAGGTCCATGCAAACCTTCATTCTTAACGTTCCTTAACTGAGGTTCAGAATTGAATTCCCTATCCATCTGTCCAGGTGTTCTCAGTAGTGAGAGATCTAACTGAAATACATTTCTTACTTCCTCCCAAGGCAACCCTACCCATGGCCAGATGTCCAGGCAAGGGAGAAGACCATCACCCTCTGTTGCATCTCACCATCACCTGGGAGCTGAGTACATGCTGCTTTCCTCTTCTCCCTCCTCTTTCCCTTCTGTGCTATACACATCTGATGAGACAAAGGAAAATGAACAAACAAGAATCCAGCACAACAATTTTATTTTGATACAAATTCAACCATGCCGGCTGCAGTTGTGACCATCCTTTTACAGGATTATCAAATGCAATTTCCATCACAGCAGTTCCCCTTTCCCCAGGGGCTAGGGACAACTGGGAGCTCATGGTTGCTCGCTTTGCAGGTGTAAAAGCTGGGGAAGAGTATTTTATTAGTGTCACACTGAACCTGCAGCTCTTCACCTGGAGCTTTAACTAACACACACCAAGAGAACACCTAATCCCTCTCCCAGTTAAATCCCTGTAAAACCAGCACATCTCCCTCATCTCTGAAAGCAGTGGGTTTTGATTTTGAGCCACTTTAAACAAGATGAAAAATCAGGTCCCTTTTTAACAGGATTCAAACTGTTAAACACGTAGGCAGAGCTGGCGAATGCATTTCTTTTCTTTCAGCAGCAGAAACACTGCTGATGTGAGCTGCATCTTCTAAAGTCCCCCACGGGTGCAGCAGCTCCCCATGGCAGAGTGCTGTTTCTTCCCCATTTCCATTCCTGCTGTTCTCTCTCTCTCTCCTTTTCTATTTTTTTTTTTTTTTTTTTTAAATCAAAAGCCTACCCCCTGTGAACTGAGTGCAGCTGCAGGAAGCCTAGAGGGGTAGAGAAAGCCAGCACTGAATTTCACAGTTTTGTCTCAACCCCCAGCCATATAAAGCTGCCATGCACCTCGGTGAAGCACAAAAAATGATGATAGGGAGGCACAAAGCATGGCAGCTTCTATCCAATCTCCACAGATTTTAACCTCGAATCTGCAGAGAAATTTAGCACACACAAGAGCCCAGGTGCTCCTTGCTTTCACACCTGTTGTAGTTTCAGATTGTTCCCCACAGATGCTCCTCTCTGGCAGACATCGTCGTGGCAGGAGGCACCACCTCACTTCTGAGTTACTTGGAGAGAAAAACGCTAATTTTAGTGGAGCCAGGCATGAATGCAAAATGGGGAATCTCTTTTTGTGAATGGATGTAAGAAGTCTAGGAAATGTTTGCTCATCTAACATGCACGAGTGTGACCATCAAGCTGTATGTGGGGGAGAAATCTGTTTTTCCTGCTCTTTTAAAAATAATGTCAGTAGGAACAGAATTAGGCAACTACCTGGAGTGGGTGTTAGCAGAGCTCAAACAAGAAGGAAAAATCCAGGGACTTCCCCGGCATCTTCCAGCCATCTTTTACTCTTTAATTGGTCCCTATAAGGTTACCCAAACAACTGAGTTTCTTTTGAAGCTTTTTGTGAGAATGCCTTAATGGCCTAAGACACAAGATCACATTACTGACTTGCAGGCTCATTTTCATCGTTTCCTCAACTCCAGCCCCTGCTCCACTGCATAACCCCAGGACCCTCCCCTCATGCATTCACCCCCATTAACTCTGCAGCCTGTGCTCCCCACTACACCACCCTGCCAAACCCTTTCCATCACTCACCTCCTTTAATCTCACTTCTCAAAGGCGACCTTCACACCACCAGTCCTGTCCCCATGCTGGCCTCTTCACTCAACTTGGCTTAATGCAGGGACACAAACACAAAGCTAAAGCACTGAACGTCTGAGATCACATATGGCTTTTGCACGTGGGTGTTTGGGTATTCATTAGCTAGAGACATATTTTGATACCTCAAGAGGACTTGTGGCTCAGAGGTGCTGATGCACAAAAGCACTTCATGACACCCTGGGGAATGGTTTAGCGTTCAGCAGATGTTGGGACAATTAGGTTACCTATGGAGGCTCCTAAATGCAGGGTTAGCTACACGAAAATCTTGACCTCTTCAAGATATCAAACTACTCAAAATAAATGAATAAATAAATAATTGGCCATTACAGTGTTGCTTCTGTTTTTCTAGGGTGGGATATTTTTCACAAACAAGACTTTCTCCAGTATATTTCTCCCTCCAGATTCAGAGGCCAAAGGAAGATTTTCTCATCCTACCAGCCACACGTGCCCCACCACCACCCCAGCACTACAGAGATGCTGAACTCAGAGGCACTTCTATAGCCAAGCTACAAAGCTGCTCCCCTGCTCCTCAGTCTGCTTCTGCAGACTGCATTAATTTTTAAAAGAACTAAATTGATTTCTCATTTCACTCTCTCTAGCAGCAATGAACAAAATAGCTACATGGCTGAAATGCTCTCCTCCACAGCCTATTATAGTATGTTAAAAAGCCATTAATTCCATGGTTTCCTGTCTTTAGTGAATAGGTTACTGTCATTGCTGAACTTAAGCAAGTGCACAGCAGCTGCAAGGCAGGGAGCAAGGCAAACTCCTTTCAGTGTTCTCAGAGTAGATATTTTATTCTATGAAATCCCTGGAGATGATAATCCAGGATGAGTCTTAAAATCAAAATTATGGTCCAAAATGTTTAATACATTCCTCTCTTCTTTCCCATTGTAGCAGTCTTGACAGAGTGTGAGCCTTTATTTCTTCTTCCTTGGCAATATAAGATGTAATCTAAATGTAAGAACATTTAGATTAAAAAAAGCAATCAACCATCACTAAAGCACGTGGACACTTCCACTGACACCAACACTACCTCAAAGTTCACTGTGTGCTTACTTAACTAACATACATATGTTCATAGATCACCATTCATGTATCAGAGCCGTGGGGCTCAAAATTCACTGAAAACTTTACCACAAACTGCTGTGTTGTGCTCCATGTGGCTTGCTATGCATCTCAGAAAATATTTCAAGAGTGACCGGAAAGCCAGAATGCTCACAAAAACATTGCAAAATTAAACTGCCGTGAAGCAGGATATGAGGTTTGGCACACCACAAATGGGAGAGTAACAAGTTCTCATTGAACCACTATGTTCAGCAAACACATTCTCTCAAGTGATTTTAACACAAAATTAAAATACATTAAAATTAACTTACTAGTATCTCTGTTTAGCACAGCAGGCAATGAAGCAAAAATTCCAATAGAGTAACACAATTTTCTTTATGCCTTCACCAAATTTATACTAACAAAAACATCTGTGGGCAGTTTGCATTTATTTAGGATGAGAGTTGGGGCGGGTGTGTAGCCCTCAACTTGTAGCACCTGCAGAACACACACAAGACCAGAACCTGTTCCTCTGATGAGAAAGACAAAGACCTTTCATGCCAGCAGCCTAACCCTCTTAAGAACAAGGCTCCTTCTCCCATGCAGTTCATTTGGTCTCTCTGATATGGTCAAGCCCATGGAGGAGCTAGCCAGAGAAGCCTGAACTCCAGCTAGCCATGTTACAGCTCTCTAACAATGTTATTTTAGTCTCCAGGTCTGTCAAAGAAGCATCTTAACGCAACCCTTTTTTCACAATGAAAAGTATTAGCACTTACAAAGTTCTCCGTATCTATGTAAAGCAAACGATAAATAATTCATTCACTGCACGTGCATCTGCATCATTTGAAATGCATCAGTGCTTTTATCAATACAGTGCAATGAATTTACACTGCACAGAATAGACTTGGGGGCATTTGGGCTATCCAAGTATTGTTGATCTGAGCATTATTATTAAAGGTAAACTGAAATAAATTACCTCAGTTACTGCAAGACAATTTTTTTTCAGCATGGGAAATAAAACTTATTAGTTCTAGGTCATTAAATTCAATATTAGACTTAAAAAGAGCCTAGAGAGTCTATAATGTTATTAGTAAAACATGCGATAAAACATATGTGACTCAGTATTAAAGATAAAAGAACTGCTCTATTATATTTAGATATTAGTTATTAGTGCATTTTTCAGGACTGTGATGTAAATGCCCAGCTGCCATTCTCAGATACAAGCTAGGCACACAGCCCTTCTGGCTCTTGCTGAGGGGCAGGTTTCCAAATAACGAAGCCATTTCTGAAAATGCCATTCAGAGCCTTTTGCTAAGTTACCCACTATTCCCCTTCGGATAAGAATAAATAATATTTTGACAGTGTTTCAACTGCAGCAAGTGGGCAAGGAACTCGGACAGCAGGGCTTAATTTTCAGGTTTTTGGATTAGTCGACTTCTTCCAACCCTGAAGGCATCCTTTGGTTTCCTGTGCTCCTCGCTGCTCGAGTACACTGTACTTTTCATCTCATCCTCTATTCTTTTTGTTTGGTTACAGCCTCTCCGCAAGGACTGTCTCGCCGTGTCTGGCACAAAGGAGATGTGCTCCAGGTTGGAGTTTCCAGTCATTAACGTTCAGCCCCAAATCCTGACAACAACCACTGCAATACACACTCTGTCTTGCAAAATGCCAACAGCTAGGCTGGAAAAACATCTTCCAAGAAATAAGTAACGATGGCAGGCCGCACCCAATCAATCGCAATAAGCAGGGGTTGTATATTACAGGCTGCTATTATGTTTTCCTAGAAGCAGCAGCAGAAGCCAAGTACTTTCAGTGTGTGCAAAATCTATTTGTCATTACATACAAAGAAGAAAAGATGAGCATAAGCCTCCATGAGTGGTGTAACACTTCTGTTTCTACTGTTTTCTTAGGCATTGGGCATGATTCTGCCTCCTGTGAGAAGGGAGGAGAGCTCCTGGGACACGCAGGGGCAGATTCACAGCTGGTGGGAATCACTGCAGCACCCTTGGGCCACAGTGGCAGCACTCATAACCCGACCAGTTTCTCAGGCTGCGTCCAGGCAATGACTATCAGTTATTGTCCAGGTGGCTGAGGAGTTCTGCATGATGAAATACCTTTATCCCAGTTTTGGTCTACCATTACAGGAACACTGCAGCATCCCAGCAAGCTTCTCAGAAACCTGAGCTAAAATCCCATGTCAAGGGGAATACAGAAAAAGCCTAGCAATTGTGAAACCTAATTACAAAGTAATGTGGAGCCTGAAAGCAGAACTGCTAAGCAGTTAGAGACTTGCCTAACAATTAGGCCATCTGTCATCCGCAAGTGGGCTAACAAAAGGCTGCACGGGACACTTGTGGCACTGTACGGAGGAGGATATGCAAACGAGGAAGCGTCCAAATACAGTTTTAAGATACACGGTATGAAATGAGCTGCTAATTGGGGCTCACATGCATGCTTAACATATGGACAACATAATTATAGTTGTACAGTTAAGGGAAGTTTACTCTACAGGAAGAGAATGGAACGGCGCAGGGTGCGATGCGGTGAGCAACAACCAGAGCACACTGGGAGGAAAGGGATGGATGGGTCTGGCAGAGAGATGCTTTTTGGATTCTTTACACTTAATTTGCTGGGCAGGGGAATGCAATTTAGAAACTAGAATAATCTCAAACTTCTTATATTATAATAATATATATCTACTGCACTATACCATATATACCATATACTGTACAGTATGTACAATGTTATTGTGAAAAGAGAAACCTTCACAACGATGCCAGTGTTAACTTATGCTACAAAGCATATCTAAGCAATAGCAATCCATGGAAGATGTGGAACTAGAAATATGCTCTTGAGCAGTTGACTCTGGTCTATGTATTAGGTTGTTCCCCTATAGATTTTTTTTTGTGACTCAGTAAGAGCAATGTCCGGGGCTGTGGAAGACAGTGAATGTAGCAGCTGATTAAACAAAATATTCTTTCCTCTCCATAAACCATTGGATAGAGATGTAAATTGGAATTAAAAATTACTGCAGCATCACAAAAATGCTAAGAGTTTCAAAGTTCCATCTTTGGCATATCTCTCACTTCATGCCAGTAAATTTAATTGAAATTCTAATAAAAAAGATGCAGCCATACCCACAAATCAGCCTTAAGTTGCAATTGGAAGCTGAGAGAAAGCGTGTGGTCTTTGCATTGGATGTGTAGTTATGTCAGCTTTGAAACTGGTTCTCTTTTTACTTTTCTAGCTCCTTTGAAATCAATGGAATGACAGAGCTATCGATCTGAAATATGTTATTTCCACTTGCCCACCACGAATCAAAAAAAATGCTTAAACATCAGTTCATCCCGTCAATTCCAGTGAGTTTTCAGAATATTTTAAATTGCCACCCTGAAGAGAAATACTTATCTGCTTTGGAAAGGGAAAGGAAGGAAATATAGATTTGAAGAGCTGAGAGGGCTGAATATTGCAGATCTCTGAATGATTGTGGTATTTTGCTACATAACTAACAGGATGAGAAAGGAAGCAAGGATAGACCACAGGTATTTATGTTTTGTGCAGATTATCCACTAAACTATGCTAAAGTCACTCATTTTGTGACTGTTAAATAGGCAATTTTTCTGCTAAGCCATTTCGACATTCTTGCTGTACTAGGTTTTATTAGTTTGGCTTGGGTGTTTTCAGACAGATTTTCATTGCTCTTAAACTGAGAACATGAAACCAATAGGAATGTGTGCTTGGATGTCAGGCTATTGGTCTTTCATCTTGCTTATGAGGGACCTTGACCAAGATTTTGCCATTTAGCCAGGTAGAGAGAGCTATGAAAAGCAACTATAACTCAGAAAGGTAATTAATGTAAAATGGCTATGGGTACTTGCATGAATGACATTGCAGATTGGAAACTTGCTCTCAGCCTTCAAGTTACTTGGGTAAATCTACAGAATTGGCTTAAAAAATGCCTCTAGCTGTATTAAAATCAATATCAGCAATATTAGAAACATAGTGACAAAACAAGTCCTTCTAAAATATTTAGGCAGGTTTGCACAATACAACTTCATAATTCTCTTGTATAAAAAGATATTTTAGCAATTTTAGATCAGGCAAGATCTATGTTAAATGGCACTGGAGTCAGTGAAAGCACATGGAAAGTGGGAAATAAAGTTAAAAACATGCTAGGATTGGACTCTCAATTAAAGTGCATATGGCACCAGGATGTAATTGTAACCAGAAAAGCACAGGAAATACTGTTTTTGCACAGAAGACTGTAGTTTTGTGGAAAAAAAAAAAAAAAAAAACGAAAAAAAAAAAACACAACAATAAAAACTATTTCTGTGAAAAGGTATACTCAGATGGGAGAGGTTATACACAGCTCCATGGCAATACTCCATTCTCTGTTCCAGTAAAAGTTTGTTTAATTCATCATCATTCCTTCATAGTCTAGCAAATAATAATGAAAAAAAAAAAGTTGCAAAGGTCACAATAAAACAACTCTTCTTTCATTAAGACCATTAGGGATATCAATGCTAAAAAGGAATAGTAGACAAATAACTCTGAACTGGAACACTCCTAATATTTCCATTTACATTCTTCCCAAAGAGTGGCTATGGGGAGCACTGCTCCACCAGAGTATGCAGCCTGAAAAAGAGTTCCTGCCCACCGCAGGTGTGTTTGTGAAGGTGTGTATTGTCTGCAATTGCTTTCCTGCAATTCCATAGTTGGGGGAAGAAGGCAGAGACAGCTGTGCTGAGGGTGGCTGGGGAGTGTGTTCTTTCAGCACAACCCTTTAGCTCTCTCTCTTTTCATTACAGGTATTAGAATTGTTCCCAATGGGCACAGCAGACAATGAAAGCCAAACAAGAGGAAGGATTTGATCCAGTTCCCCATTAAATTCAGAAGAAAGACTAATAACTTCAGCGATAATCGGAGTTGGACTGGAACCTACATGAATGGCATACCACGGATCATTTTATTCCTGCCAAAGATTGTTCAGACTGCAGCAATTTCCAGCGGGAGCTAGAATCTACGTCCCCCAAACAGTTCCACTCCAGCAAACAGTACGTGCATTAATTCCAGTATTATTTGGTTTTCCCCTGACTAAAAAATGCACGGCAGGGTAGGACAAAAAGAGCAAATGGGGTATGTGCAAGCACCAGCCCAGCTGCTGCTGGACCACTGTTTGCCAGTTGCTTAGCAACACTTCACCTCTCTGCTGGAAAAAAAAAAAAAAAAAAAGTGTTCTGATGAACAAAAATAAACCAGAAGATTTGTTTATTGTGAAATAATGACTGTGATAGTGCTCTATTCACTTCTTCTAGTCATGTACTATATCACCTACCAAATGCTGGGAGCTCTCTGGGATAAAGGTTGCAACTTTCAATGCCTAGCTGTGGGATATCTCTATGGGATCTCTCTTACTGGAGGTACTTAAATAAAAAATGGCAATAACAGAGCAGTGGTGTTTGCATACTTATTAATCGGGAGGAAAACTGGAATAGGAATTCGAGGATTTAATTTTTGGGCAACCTCTTTTAGCTGCTCCCGCTTAAGCAAGGGTTGGTACAAGATGATCTCCTGAGGGCCCTTCCAAGCGCAACCACTGCATGGTTCTGTAATTTGGAGAGTAAAGAAAAGAACAGGGAGAATAAAGAAGAAAATAAAAACAGGTACCCCGGGAGTGAGCCAGTGAAGGAAAGATGCCAACGCACATTCATGCCTCACTCACCAGTTATCCATTTAGCCTCTGGGTCATGTATTTTGAAATCAGCACTAAATAGATCTTCCACTGTTATCTTCTTCTTCTGAGACAAGCTGTTATCTTCAACTGTGAAGCATACAAAAACAAATTGCCATTACTTCTACTTTGAACTGTACCTGAAACTACAGCAACTCTGAGTAGTGCCATATCATATTTCATTCCGGAATGGTCCACATTAAGTCATCTGTCACTCATAAGCTCCTTCACATTGTCAATAGTAGAAAAGGACAATCTAATAGTTCACAAAGAGAAACCTCCTGGTTATTTATGCCTAGATTCAAAAACTACAAAAGGACCAATGATCCAAAACACACCTTTTTGACAGAAACTGATGAAAAAAGATATAAAAAGGCATGCAAACAGGCAGATATCAGAGCACTATAGAATTCTGACTACTCTCAGGAATATTAAAACTTTTCAACATTCACTATTCCAAAACCATTTTTTTTTTTTTTTAGTAAAATAAAATTAAATGTAAATTGACCTACTTAGAACTGATATTTTTGTTTCCTTAAAAACTGTCATGCAGAACAACACTTGCAAATGTATTTAGCCTTGTAAGGATTTAGACAGAATATTTTTAAGAATTCATAAAACACCTAACTGAAGAGATATTTTTGAAAAATCTATGAGAAATACCTCTAAATCCTTTGGTGGTGCATGTCTGCATGATACTAATTTTCATTTTTACTGAAAGTATTTGGTTTCATTTTCAAACACAATAGTAACACAGAAATGTGGTCAACTTTTAAATTGAAGAACCAGACTGCCAATTGAAGATTCTGGAAGATCCTCTTTAATGAGCAGCACTGTTTGTTTATTTCACTCTTCCTAGTTCTACTTTGTAGCAAATTTAATTTTCCAAAAAAGAAAACCTTGCTGTATGCTTCCCCCCTGTCCTTCATACAGGAAAATAAAGTATTGTGTATAACAGCAAGAGCCCCTACCAACCTGCAGAGAACAATTCCATGGCAACTTCAAGACCAAATGTGTGGTGTCATTGCAAAAAAACAAACAACAAAACACTCTAGTACTGGAAATTAGGATATGGGTTGCCAAATTTCTTGAACAATTAATTAAATAAATCACATCCAATAGGGCTCTGAGATACAGTATGAGAGAGAATTCACTAAGTCCTGCTTTCCTGAGCACCACTTCTGTGGTTATCTTAGGCACTGCTGGAAATTTTACCCCCACAGCATACGGCGTAATGTGCTTCCTCACCCCACTTCTAAAGTTTCAGCCAGTGACAGCAAAGAGATTTTTGTCTTATCACAAGGAAATCTTTCTCATCTAGGATGCCACCAAGACTGATCACATATGAGTAGAATTAAGTAAAACTAAGGAACAAATTTAAGAAGTTTGCCACAGGTAGCCTCTTCTTCTCTGCAAAAATTGTGCCTTCTCATTTCCACCAGCACCTCTCCACTGTGTAACAGTTCTCATAAAAATAATGCAGAGGCACATAAACTGAAATGTTTATGTTGAATTGATGGATTATTGAGCTTACAGAACAATAAAAGTGCTTAGTATGCTTAGTATGAAAATGGATTTTCATTTCCTCGTATTTTTTTTTTTTTTTAGCAAAAAACCTGAAATAGACAATTTTCTTTTTGATTTTCTTTTTCCATCAACAGTTGTTTTTGTTGTTGTTGTTTTCTTGTTGATTTTTTTGTTGTTGTTGTTGGACAAGCAATCATTTTGTAAAGATATTTAAAAATGACTTTGAGTAGTTTGTTCCCAACACTCAAGTTTTTTTCCTGAAAAAAATATTTTAATGGAAACTTTTCAATCAGCCTTAAGCACATCTGCTTGTAAAAGTAAAACATAAGGCCACATCCTGAATATTTCCACAGCAATATTGTTCCTCACTACAGTATCCTGATGCCTGGGGTCTGTTGGTATCACGCAGCCATTGGTACCTTTGGCTAGAACTAAACTTGTTACATTGACTGAATGCACTGGTGATTACAAGCAGTGGAAACAGACTCTTAGAAGCCATTTGTTAAGGGAAAAAAGTTCTTCTCTACTACACTAAATTGAAGCTCCTGAATTACCAGAGACTACTGAAAATTAACTCTGAACAATGTTTTGTTCCACCAGAAGGTGTTTTTTTTTTTTTTTTTTTTTTTTTTTTACCAAATTAAAAGAAATTCTTCAGTTTTCATTTTTTTGTTTTCTTTTGTTTTTAAATCTAATTGATTTCAATCACACTGTTTAGTTTGGCTTTCAAAGTGCCAAGACATATTAATACAAGTCCTCTGCCAAATCCTTCTATGTGACAGCACTATGCCAAGTTCTTCTGCATAATTTTATTTACTAACCTGGAAAATATAGGTCAGAAGAGCTCCAGAAAACTGTTCCAGTTAGTTCCTACCATGGAGCAAGGTCTTAGCACTGGGCATGCAGGGAGATCAGGCACTGGATATTGTGGGATATTGTAGCTGGTTCAGGCACTGCTTTCCAAAAGCCACCTCAGGGAATGAGGACACACTGTTCCCCATCATGAAGGCATAAGGAAAGGCACACGCAAATCTGCTGGAGCTTTGGGAAGGGGCAGGGCAGGAAGTCCTTCTCATTCCCTCTTTCTGAAGAGGATGCAGATGGCCAGTCCAGGGGCTGCGTGACCTCTGCACCTTCACAGCCCTTCAAACTCCTCGTAAGGGACAAAGGGACAAAAGGGCAAAGGGAGAAGGAGTGAATAAAGCATGCACACACATCAGCCTCTATAAGACATGTCTTGATAAGATTCCCTTATAGTGTCCAACACCATATTATAAAATTAGCTGCAATAGTTCCTCCAGTATACTGTGGACAATGCTAATCTCAGTCACAGAGCAGAGGAGAAAAATAATTAATTAATAAGCTATCAGGAAATAACATTTTGGTGAAAAATTCAGATTTACTGCCTCTCATCTAACACATAGTCAAGTCAGAACATTCATTAAGAATGCCTGCTCCGTTCCTCTAGCCCCATTATAGACAGGCCAACCTCCTTGCCTGTTTTGCTTCTGTGGTACCAATCCTTTCTTTCAAGCTTCTCAACTCCAGTAATGCTCAGAGGCTGCTTGACAGGTCAGGAAGCCTCAGATACTTTTGGATGCCCATCTTTCTTTCCAATATCCCTGGTACTCAGCTATAGGTCAGTGTCAGATGCTTTTCTCACGTCCCTTGGGCTACTGTGTGCTGCTAAGTCATGGATTTTTTAATTTTTATTATTTTTATTATTTTTATTTATTTTTATTTTTATTTTTTAAATATTCATCTCTTGGCAGGCCTGATCCAACATACTAGAAGCTCCCATCCCACCTCGGCATGCCAGCTCAGTCACTGAGAAGAACTGAGCCCTGTTCTACCTCAGCAGAGCTCCCCATCCCCAAAAGGCAAGTGGCCAAGGCAAGAGAAACAGGCGGTCTCTCTCCCTTTTGTAAAATCCTACTTTTTTGTTGACTAATAATGTACATTCATATGTAACAGTTGTGAGCAAACAAATTACAGCGTTGCACAACTGGTCAGTGGATATTTCTTTGCTCTTGCTGAGTAGCAAAAGCCATATTAAGTTCACAAGGTGATGTATTTGGCTGTCTGACAGAGTGCTGTGAATTGATGCTATGCAATGACTATCTTCAGTACTATCTCTGTCCAAAAAAAATTCTTATGAAATTTGTAAAGATTTTAACATGAGATTGAGTGTACATTTTTTCACCTAAAGGTTATATTTGAAAGGAACAAACTTGATGTATACATTCACAAAGCTTTAAACATCAGGAACAGTCCTTCTTAATCTCACTTTCCAAATAGAGGGGCCCAGAAAACACCTTTTTCCTAAACAAATTGTCTAATGACATTTTGGGAGGGATTTTTTTTTTTTTTTTAAATGCAAAACTTCTGCAGAATTGTGTCCTCATTATAGCTTTGGTATGTATATGTGTGCACACATGCAAACCTACAAATATTTGCACATGTTTATAAAAATACACACACACCTCTGATAAGACAAGACCCATATAGATGCCATATGCTGCAACAAGTGAGCAACTGTCAATTAAGAAAGTCTCAGTCTCACGCTTTTATCATTTAAGTGAATAGCTTCATATTTTTCAAAGGTGGGTGGAATGGCAGGACTCACACACACACACACACACAAAAATAGACTCCTTCAGCGTAGGCAATTGTGGGCATGTGGTTTACTACAGTGTAATTAAATGCAAGCTTCCACCAGCTACTGCTTCTTTTAAGAATTATTTTCTAGAATATCAAGAGATATATAAATCATAGTAATATTGTTTTATTAGAATTTTATAAAATAAGACCTAAGCATTTGCTAGCAATAACACATTGCTATTGGAAGTACGATGTTTACTGAATGTAAATGTTGTTCCAAATTTACAAGCTGCTCTTACAGCAGGGTGAGTGACCTGCCTCTCAGAAACCCAAACCAGTCAGAATTTCAGCATTTCTCAAGCTGAATTCAGAGTTTAAACCTTCTTTAAAGCTCTGGACTGTTTTGCAAATAATCTTGGAGAGGTACATAAATCCTTTTTTCCTTTTCATTAAAAACCTTATTCAGCACCTGGTCTATGAAACAAGCCATTCCCATTCCCCATTCTACCACTCACTCTTACATTTTCCAGAGACTGCCCTGAGTTTCAGTTTATGGGGGAAATGTCATCCTGATGATTCACGTTATGGATCCAGTTAGCTAATACCCACTTTATTATAATTTATTATTATTATTATTATTATTATTATTATTATTATTATTATTATTATTATTATTATTATTATTAATAATAATAATAATAATAATAATAATAATAATAATAATAATAATAATAATAATAATAATAATAATAATAATGTATGAGCATGGACTGCAAGTCTGCATACTGCACTATATCCAAGGAATTCCCTAAATTGCTCTCTGTAGTAATTTCATGATGGTCAGCACTGGTTTTAGAGCACCTCTTCATTGCATGCCTTAGTGTTGCATTGTAAAACAGTCCTTCAAACCAATGGAAAAATACCAAAAGAAGAATGGTTTCTCAGCCAGGGAGAGGGACAAGATAGCTACAAATGAGAAATGCAGAGATGAAATGCAAATATATATTTGTGCTAGCATGAGTGTCAGGTTGCACTCCAGTGTTATCATCAGAAGAAAGACAAACATGTGAAGTAGCCTCCAGCATTCTGCTCTGACCATGCCAAACCACATCATCCTGCTTTAGAGATTCAGTAGAGGATTTTTTTGCCAGTACCACTCTCATACTTGGCAGAAGCTCCCCACAAACATCCACAAAACTGCTTTGCCTCTTTCCTCTCTGTCCTCCTATCCCTTCCTTTGCCCTTGCTTCAAATATCCATCACTGTATTCTTAGTTTGATTACCAAAGGATAAATATTTCTTCTTTCAGTGAGCTCTTTTATGACAAGTTCACATTCTGCTTCTCCTTTTGGACAGGCTCCTCTCCTACCTCTCTGGGAAGTGCTATCCCCATTCAGGATTAGCAATTTAAAATGTTATGTTTGCCAAGTCATTCTCAGTCTCTCACTCAGCACTGACTGCTGGGCAATGCCTGTGAAATGAGCCTTCCATTACCCTGTGCCATTGCATGTGCTTGTAACAAGCTCCAGGGTCAGTGGCCCAAGAGAAGACTGAGCTCAGCTGCTGCCAAGCCACAGCAGCAACCTAAGCTATCTGATTTTACCCTTGGCAGAGTCTCACCATGAAGCAGTCTAGATCCGTAATAGTATATATATATATATATATAAAACCAAAACAAAACAGTACTGAGCTCAAAGGTTTTGTATTTACATGCAGAGGACAGTTCTGAAACATCATTAAGGGAGAAAAACAAAACAAAACAAAACAAATTCCACTTTAATAATTTATAATTTTCGAAATATATATACATATAATAAAATTTCAGCATAGAAAATGACTTTGCATTTTCCTAACTTTTAAACACAGAAACACAGAGACACTTTCAAAAGTGCTATTTGGAGCTCTTGCTAAAAACTTACTAATAACTGGATGATTTATGTGTATACATGTGTTACGAATACATACACAAACACAGAATGGTTTTTTTTTTGTACGTACATACAAATAAAATAAACACACAAATACACATATGAGTTTTACTTAATGTTGAATGCATACATTTCCCATTCCCATTTTGTACTACATAACATAGAATGTCATAATAACACATATTTACTTGTGTTTTCCTAAAAGAACATTATCTACAAGGAATCAATGTTCAGTATAGCTTTTCTGGCTCAGCTTTTACTTGTACAATAGCATTATAGTATCTGTAGTCATAACAGTCATTAGTGGATTTTGTGTGTCTTTACAGAGAAAGGAGAGTAAGGTTCAGGAGAAGTCATAAATGAGGTCTGTAGCAGAGCTTGGAACTGAAACCAGAGATGCTAAATCCTCATCAGATATTCTGACCAACCTTACAATGATATCCTTATTACAGGTGGTCTTGTAAAAGGAAAGACTTGTGACTCAGACTGTCTTTAGTTTAGACCACAGGTATGTTC